ATCAGGTCTTGGCTCTGCGCTGGGTCAAGGCCAACTGCTCGCGCTTCGGCGGCGATTCGAATAACATAACAATCTTTGGTGATAGCGCCGGCAGCGCCTCAGTGCACTACATGATGATCACGGAGCAGACGCGCGGACTCTTCCACAAGGCCATCTGCATGTCGGGAAACACGCTCTCGCCCTGGGCCGTGACGCCGCAGCGCAACTGGCCCTACCGGCTGGCCGTGCAGGCGGGCTACACGGGCGAGAATACGGAGCGTGATGTCTGGGAGTTTCTGAAGAATGCCAAGGGCTCGGACATAATCAAGGCCAACGGCGAGCTATGCATCGACGAGGAGAAGAAGGAGCGCATCGGCTTCTCCTTCGGCCCCGTCATCGAGCCCTACTTGACCAGCCACAGCGTCGTGACCACCAAGCCCATCATAATGATGCGTACTGCCTGGAGCAATAGCATACCCCTGATCCTCGGAGGCGTCTCGAACGAGGGCCTGCTGCTCTACTCCGAAACCAAGGCGAATCCCAAGTGTCTCAACGAGCTCGGCGACTGTCGCTACGTAGTGCCCATCGAGCTGAACATGGATCGGGACAGTGAGCTGTGCAAGGATTACGGCGAGCAGCTGCGCCAGTGCTACTATGGCGATAAGACGCCCAGTTTAGACACGTTTCACGAGTATCTGCAGGTGTGTATGTGTGTGTGTGCTGTAGAGGGAAGTACGGCACAGTTATCGTTCGAGTACCTCAGATGACTACATACATAGAATATGGCGCTTAAGCGATATTGTTACCGGATATTAAAGAATGTCTTGTTGATGTAAGGGGTGGGGAATTTTACACGGAATTAAAAATTCGGCGTAGACCAGATGGAAACAATAGAAAAAGAATCAGAAAACTCGAATAATATATATTGCATAAGACTGAAATCTTGATAAGAATCAATATGAAGATAGGCAAAGATATTTTTAAACAAAAATACTTTTCATAGATTTTGTATTGAGGTAGTTTACTACGGAAAGATTTCAAGCAAAGAACTTTTATATTATATTTTATAAAGCATTTAATTTTCAGGTATTGACAAACAATTTTGGAAATATACAATTTAAAAGAATTTGCCATAATAGAAAGTATATTTTGGAAATCAGTGTAAAGATTATATGTTTAATAATTGTAGACATAGTGAGAGTAAGTTGAAGGATGATGATATTACAAATAAAATATGTCTTAACGAGAAGGACTTGTGTAAGCATTAGGGAAATCGAGATATTTTAGGAAGCAAAGAAGGTTTTGCTTGAAAAATTCGCGTGCTTCTTCTCCATTGCTCACAAGAGCAGCTCTCTTATGTAGTTATAGAATTCGACTGGCGATGAAGTAAGCTTACAACAAGTGGTTCGCATAATTATTTCAAGAAGCCAGTTCGCATGGTTTACTCAGCTAGGCAGCTTAGCATATTTAATGATAAAAGTCTGCTGCGCTCTGTTGACTGCTAAATTGCTGAACTAATCTTTTGTTTGCCCTGTCTTTGTCTGGCTTGTAGATGGTCTCGCACGAGTATTTCTGGTTCCCCATCTATCGGACAGTATTGTCGCGCTTGGAGCACGCGTCGAGCGCACCCACCTATCTGTACCGCTTCGACTTCGACTCGAAGCACTTTAATCATCTGCGCATACTCAGCTGCGGCAAGAAGGTGCGTGGCACCTGCCACGGCGACGATCTGTCCTATCTGTTCTACAACTCGCTGGCGCGCAAGCTGAAGAACCACACGAGGGAGTACAAGTGCATCGAGCGCTTGGTGGGCCTCTGGACGCACTTTGCCACCTACGGCAATCCCAACTACGATCCCGAGCAGCCGGACCTCTGGCAGCCCGTGTCGCCCAGTGCACTGGAGAAGCATCAGCTGAAGTGCCTTAATATATCCGATGATCTGAAGATCATCGATGTGCCGGATCTGCGCAAGTTAATGGTCTGGGAGAGTTTCTTCCGGCGCGACGAGCTGCTGTGAATACGAAGGCCTTACCCAAGGTCTCCGCCTAGCGTTAGCATTAGCATTAGCTTTATGTTGAAAACAATGCAAAGCGTAGCTTTAAAGCCTAGATAGAACCCATCTATATATATATTAATATATTTCTATGTGTATGTGCGTGTTGTTAAGTTTGTCCACAAATCGAGATTCTATTTAAGCTTGTTCAAGTTTGATCCGAAACTCTCAGATGTCTATAGATCACTGATCASTAGATTCAGATTCTATTTATCTATCTATCTATCTTTATATATGTATATGTATATGCTACGAATTGAGATTTGTTCTAAGGAATGATAGAAGTCGCAACTGAAGTACCTTTTTAATGGATTCGTACAGCCAAGGAATAGTCGATATGTGCATGAATGTTCCTTTTGTTCCTAGTTATATCATATATTTATCCATTTAAATGTGTGCGAGTAAAAGGCTGCCAAGACGCCCCATACGCTATGATTTTTCTAGTATTATCCGGCGTTCGGCGCTCTTCCGTGCACAACGTACACTCACCCATCCAGTAATATATTACATATTAGTCTATTTTTTGCTTAGCTCTTTGAATTTGTGACAATTTTACAAAGATCATCTAATTTTTGGATACGTATTTGTTCATATTGTGTTTTATTTTGTATAAGCGTACAATATACCAACCAGTCCAGGTTTTACATATTTAGGAATATGATTCTTGTTAGTATCTATTATATAAATATGTATTTACATGTGTATATTTACATGGGACAACATGAATTTGAATTGAATTAAGTGTCTGTTGACTAAAAACACCTCTAAACAATGTTATTAAGAATGCACAAACGAAACGCTAATCTTAAATGTTTCGATTCGTTTTTATAGAAACCACACTGAGCCACAACTAAGACGAGCTCTATAAACAAAGATTAAGTAATTTAATTCCTAAAAGCTTCAAAAAATGTGATGCCACAAAAAAAAAAAAAAAAAAAGAAAAAAAAAGTAAGAAATTTAAAATCCATATTTTAATAAGAAAGTCTAACGAAAGAAAAACAAAGACAAACTAAATGTATTTCAAATAAAGCAAACAATTTTAAAATATTTCACACATCAAGTATTTCATTGTGAGAGCTATCAAAACTTAATAATGAGAAAATACCTAATTGCTTTAAGGAAGTTGAGAAGTTTGCCCACTCAAAACTCAGGCATTCACACCAACTACGATTATATACGCAAGTAAGTAAAATAATTATCAAACTCAACTCGAGACGCGTTAATATGTGGGCGCGTTGACGTCATAGAGCTCCGCTCTACTCTTTCGGTTTTGGGTTGCTGCTACTTATCGCTTAGCAGAATCTGAATCATAAACTCGTCTGGGTCTGCTCTCTCCCTTTCTCTCTCTCTCTCTCTCTCCCTCTCCATTCCTCCCTTTCGCACCTTATTTGCTCAAACAAAGCGCGTATCACTTGTGGGCCACATGGAACTTTAGAGATAAACCCAATCAAAACCTCAACTCTTAGCGTCGCGTGACTAATTCAAGTGCGCACGGTGGGCCGTTAATTGGGTACCTCATATAAAGCGCAATTACTCACTGTTATATAGTGCAAATAAAACATAAATTATATTCCATTAGATTGCTTAATCGAGGCTATTACAGAGAATTAAAATCTGAATTTATCGAATTATTCAAGTTATACAAATTTACAATATATAATTGGCATGGATTATGATTTGCTAGGCCAGCTGAAGGGCTTATTAGAGCAAGTCTACATTAAATTCGATGTACATTGAGTATATTTCTTGATATTTCTATAGATATACTTGATATTTTTATGTATAAATATATATTTATATTTATATTGCCATTATATTTGACTTCTATTGCTTATAACTAAATTTTTGCTTACATATTTTTGCGAAATATCTTTGGACACATAAAAAATACTCAGAAATATCACTAATCAACATTATCTATGCATATGTTATCTGTTTTATGTTCTGTCTTTCCGCATGGAACAGCTGTAATAAAGATATAAAGTTTGATACACTTTGACTGCCCAGCCCTGGTAATACAGTAATACAGATCATAATAATCTGAAATTTCTTACGAATCCTAAAGCTTTGCAACTTGTCAAGACTTTATCAAGGTCAAAAAAGATAGTCAAAATAATTTTGATTTTTTATTGGAACCGAAAATGTTTACGGAATAAACTCTATACCCAGAATATATTTATAATGGGAAGTCAGGGTATATAAAATATATATACTTGATTATAATGATGAGTTAAATCGAACCATATTAGTCGGACAGTCTGTTTGTCCATATGAAATATATCTCGTGAACCACAAATTGAAAATGTATTGTAATATGAAATAGGAAGATTTCTGTCTTGCTTTTTAAGTACTTCCCAATATGAAAAGCTATATCATATATATATATATA